TCGGTGCACTTGCATAAAATAATCAGTCAACGACCGCTGCTCGCGACTAGCTACGCGGCTAGGAGGTTGAACGCGTTGCTACTTTTGCGTCAGGGTCGACTCGACTCGGCTCGGCTCGGCACACACTCGGTGTGTCGTAACGTTGGGCTAGGTTAGTAATATCGCCTCGACGCCGGAGCTATTTACTCTAGGCTCTATTCTTACGCGTCAGCCAACCAGCACGCGGGCGAACTTCCCACTGACACATACACGCTTCGTTCATCGCTCGACTCTGTGTCGGTGTGTCCGCTCGCTTTGGCCTCGGCTTACCGAGCGTGCCCGATAAAGCTGATATCCCCTCGCCGTACGCCGCTGTTATCCCGTTCCCCGCGTACATCCCAATTAGCGGCCCAGGGAATCTCTTCGCGGTCCGTCGTTATCGATTATCGGATGATTACTTCGAACGCCTCTGTCTCTGGCGCCGTTCCCGCGCGACTTCTGCGATCTCTGTATCGATGAAACTCGGGAATTTTCTTTAGAACAACATTCCTATCGATCCTATACGATTATCGTCGAGCATAAATGAAATCTTGACCATCGAGAACCGTTCGAATTTATCGCGATCCAGTTAAGAGCAATTAACGATCGTGTCGCGAAAAAGGCGTCGCCGTATCTCGCGGTTTAAAGTTCACGGTTCAGCGTAACCCAGAAGCGTAGTGATCCGTAAAAAGCGCGAGCCGGGGAGCGTATCTGTGTCACAACAATACGGCTCGACGATGAACGCGGTTCGCGTTCCCGGTAAACATGTTTGTTCGTTCGGTCTCGAGCTACGTGGCATACACGGTCTCGGGACTGGTTTCTTTTTTGTGCTAGGTTAGTGTAATTCCGTCTGACGAGGTTACATTATTCCGCTGGCTCGTCAGCGCATATACACACGTACACACACGGGGCCCACGCGTATTGGTTCGCGATTAACGTCCTCCACGTCGTGCCACGTTATCCGTTACGTCCAACCACGGTCTTATGAAGTTGCTCATGCAATAAAGTTGCTACGTGGCCGGCCGCGGTGCTCCTTGGCTACTTTTCCATCTTGGTGAATCACGAAGCCAGGAACGAGCTATATTGGCTGACGACACGCGATTCCCCGATTCTTTATCCTCCCTATGGATCGTCTACCAATCGCGACGAATCTTATGATTCAACCGCACCGCGTGATTCCTTTTTATTTTTTAATATAATACATTTTTAACGCGTTGAATGTCGCGTGGAAGTTAGCGATGACTATCACCGCAAATTAACCAAACGATTTCATCATCTGGTAGGCGAAACAAGGCGTATATTCTGCGCGTACGTGTTCCATCGAATGAATCAACAGGTTTTCGCGATAGTCAGCTGATTCTCATTCCGTTCGACCGGTTTTATCTTTGCCCATACGCGACTGAATTCTATATTTCCTTGTTATGCACCAAGAATCTGTCCGGATAGTCGGCGACGCACGGTACTCTTGGACTCTGGTACCTAGCACCGTTTTAGCTTATCGTTACACAACAAATAAGAAGCTTGTACAGCCATTTGGTCTTAAATAATTGAAATTTCAAACTAGATTCTACATTTCAACTTGATGACCCTAGAACGTTCGAAGGCAGGAGGCTCGTTAAAATCGGAGGCGGACGGTTCCAATCGTCCTCGTTGTTAGCCAAATTGGATAACGAGTCTTTCGCGTAGAATAATTGGCCGTTCTGCGGCCGCGTAAGACAAATCAATTCTACGATATCACGCCATCATGGTCTCTCTGTGCTGGGTAGCACGCGCTCTCCGTTCTCCTCTCATCGTGCCTGCTCTCACGCTCGAGCGCATCGAGAAAAGATCCAGGACGAGCAAAGAGCGATCCATTCTATTGCGACGTTACGTATCGACGCGTTAACCGGACTCGACAGTGTCGAGTTTTTCTTGGCCTAGGTTAGGAACTATCGTCTGACATCGACGTTGTTTACCACCACGCCTCTATTCTTACGTCTCCTTCGTTGGAGAGGCGGCTATCTGTTACGCGTATCTCCCCGCTCGCTGCGATAGCCGTACGTGTCCGAGGTCGTGGTTGACGATAAGCTTAGACTTTTATGCGATTAAATAAACCTATCGCTATCAGAATATACTCGGTTCTTCGAACGAAAATATTTAACTGGAAGGGTTAGAAAAAGGAAAAAAAAGAATATATAACTTCCTCCAGCGTTGTTACTTTCGCAATAGAATGGATCCACCCATGGAATTTCACTCGATTCGAAACGAGTATCGTTCGACCGCGTGATCGGAATAACAAAGTAGCCAGTGTATCGAAGGTGAAAAACAAGTTGCATAGAGTTCTCGAAAGCGGAGACATGCAGCGGTCGATCGACGTCGTGGTTCGGTCCAACGTAGATAGAAACCCGTATTTTACATTACTCATCTGTGAGGAAGGTCAGTCGACGATGGAAGTGGAGATACGCGAGGCATACACAACGATCTTATCTACGTGTATAATTAGACGAGGCCATGTTTCATTGGCAGCGTGACACGCGTCGATAAGTAATCTCGCCGTGTAATAACTCGTCGAGCCGAAAAGAAAAGCAGCGTAATTTTCTTAATTAGCCATCTGGTAACGTAACGCGTATCTCATGTATAAAACGCGTGCACGCTTTTCGAGGCTGACGGGGAACCTCGCGACAGAGAGAACGGTGTCGGTAGTGCAGTAAACTCGTGGCGGCGGATAAATATACGGTATTATGTAAGTTGTTTGCTGCGAGCCAGGGAACGCGCCGAGAGCCATCGAGGAGAAGCGAGGGAGGAGACGGGGCGTCTCTTGTGTACGCGTATTGCGTAATAATCGAGACGGCAAAGTTCTCCGGTTCCTTCTTGCCCGCAGGAAAATTCGAAAACAAATCCCCCGTTGTCAGTGTTGCGCGTCTTCGTTGTTGTCCGAAGAGGAAGAGAAAAAAAGAAAAAAAAACCACGTCGGACTTTTTTTATTTTTTCGTTTCCTTTGCGGTGTACTCGTGCCGATCTCTGTCCGTGTGGTTGAACAGCGCGATAGCGTTACGCAATCTGACACACTCTGGAGATTTCCTTCGCTCGCAGAATCGCGTCGAAATCGTCCAGAGTTTCACTCGCGGTTATTTTCGGTACCGATGTCCATGGTCCGCGCTTTTCGTAAACTATCGCAGTGGAAATGGGAACGCGATGGTCAGACGCTCGCAGCGTTTCCTGGAAACTCCCGTTCGTTGATGATCTCACGGATCGTGTCCCTCTTTCTCGCAAAGCTTGTTACCATCGTGTGTCTCGTTAACACAAAAAACCGAGCAGCCCTTTTCATACCCCATCGACCGACGCCCAACAATGAGGATTAATTTTCATCCGATCCTATAACGCCTGGTTGTTTTTTTTTTTCCTCTCCAGCAACAGAGAAACCGAACGTTGTCATGGAACTTGTCACGTTTCTTTTCCAAGAAGGTAGACAGAGAAAAGAGGGTGGGTACCGGGTGGCTCGGCACGCTAATCGTTGCTTCATACAATTTTTCTCCCTTTTGATCCGACCCCAGGGACACTGGTGTGCCACTGTGTCCCTGCTATTTTCGTCCTCCTCCTCGTCGTAGTCGTCGCATTGTCGGCTGACAAAGAAGAGAGAAGGGCGTGCAGGCACACGCGCCGCCACCCGTGTTTCGCTCTCGTTTTCCGTGCCGAGATTTCAGGTCAGAACGGTAACGATCTTGATCGGCTTCGACAGCTGCTAATACGGCACGAGGAGAGGAACCTTTCTGGGAGGATTCGAACGACCGGTTGATTGCGCGCGAATGCGCTGCGATTTCCTGATTCAGAGAGGAAAGAAGGGGTGACGGGTACTTGCACGAAGAAACGAGAAGAGCAAAAGGGAAAAGGACGCTTGTGCGACGAATGGAAAAGCGAACGAAGGAGACTCGAGGAGATGCTTTCTCTCCCTTTTTCTCGTTCCCGCCCCGCGGGTATCGACAGGTTCAAAGGGATCCATCCCCTGGCTGGATTTCCTCGCTCGAAGAACGTGCGAGGCGAGCTTTCGGGTAATTTCTCACTCGTGCAGGTCACGTCTTTTGTAGCGCGGGTGCGTGTATGTACCGTCAGCATAGCGCACACACGGTATCTGGCTTGGCTACCGAGCTGATTCCGCCATCCTCTGCCACCCTTCGCGTATTGCGGACCCGGGTCGGAGGTATCTCATAAATACGATAGGAACGAAGCTTTTCGAGGACCAGTCATATACGTGTTCCCTTTTCCGTGATTCTATTCGCAAGGAGGATTTTCGACGAAGCTTCGACTCGTATTCTCACTGACCCCTGAAATCTCTCTCGTCAGCCGAGCAAATTGTTTCTTCTTCGATTCGCTGACCCGTCGCGGACCACCACCCCATTTCAAGCTTTTTTTCCCCCAGTTTTCTCGCCGGTCGAATTCATTTCGACGAGGAAAAAATTCTGTAAAACGATACGAGGCATGTTTGATTCAGAAAAAATCCATGCGTGCAGTTATTACTTGAGAATTATTTCCCAATTGCCGTCTGCCAATAAACACCTGACCGCATAATTATTCTTAATTACGGAAAATTTAAACCAGCACTTGTATGCGGCATTTGGCCCACGCCATTGTTTCCCTCGCTCCTTCGCTTCACCTTACGTGTCAATATTAATCAAGCAAATGTTCAGTCATATTGGCCAAGCGATAGGAGGAAAAATCACGCGGGTTATGTAAGCAGGGAATGCTGGAGTATTATTTAGTGGCTGTAAGTCTTGTTGAACAGTCGAATCGAATCGTTCTGGACCTAAGGCTCGCTGCTAGCAGCAGGAAAAATTGCAAGATTTTTCATGGAACCTGGCAAATCGTGAATATAGATATTTGGTAGAGGAATTTTGTGCAAAAGTAATCGGTAAGTGAGAAAAAGGCCTCGATAATAATATAAGTATATTATTATCGATATTTATATATTATCTATATAAAGCGTGTCATTTAAATAGAGCGTGAAATGGTGTATAGGATCTAAGAAATTTTTAATAACTTTCAAATATCTAACAATCTTTAAGTAAAACACATCCTTTAGACTCGGATTTGACATAGCCTTCTTCACATCTGCACTTAGACGTCAATTTGGTGCATTGCTAGAACAGACAGGATTATTTTTGCAATACGTAAGCGTGAATTTGTTATATTGACTGTTTGAAAAAACTTACGATCTTTGGGCATAATAGGGGATTTGGTTCTGGATCGTCGCAAGTCGGTTCGCACATGTTTCCGCAAAGGTCCCATTTTGCGTTTTTTCCGCAATTGTGCTGATCTTCATCTGCAAGAGTAAAATTTTAGATTTCCTCCTTATTACTCTTTTCCTAAAACTACTCTTCTATTTTACCATTAGAAAATTGTTAATTTCGAGACATAGAAAATATACCATTGGCGAAATATTAAAATATTAAAAAAATACGTACCAGCAGCGTATGCGGCAGCAAGGAACACTAACAGGAGAACGAATCGGAACATGATGAATTTCATTTCGATGATTTTCTCTCTCGGTTCCCGTTGTTCCAAGTTCAGTCACCGTGTGATGTCAAACCTGGCAGTGCTTTCGGTTTTTATACCCACCAGGTTTACGTAAGTTTGCTAATCAGAATTTATTATTCCTTTGAAGATAAAGCCTAGCGATAACAAGAAAAGCCACAAAAGAACGATAATTTATGCAGGTACGTACTTCGTAAATAATGGTGTGCCTAATTAATTTTCATTGTTGAAACAAAAATGGTAGTTATGCATAATTCGCTTTTATATTTGTTGCCAGCCAACATTGTAATAAACTTCTCTGTTATTCGAACGCGTGACACATTTTGAGGTCGCGGATAACAATTATATTTAACTGGTGCAAGTCGCTTTGTGTACTGTTCAACGTGTTCTTCAAATAGATACTAATTGGAGGGGATAATGATATACGACGAAGGAATATAAAAGGCGTTGAATCGCGCGGAGTTAATTTCTTGTGCGCCTCCTCGTCGTCAAATAAAAACAGGCTTCTTCAACGCGTTCACTGGCCGATAAAGATCGAACAAGGAACGAAATGAAAATTCCGAACCGTTAGATTACATTAGCAGATTAGACCGATCCATTAATTCTCGATATCCTTGATAATCTATATTATCGTAGTAACACGTGCCGCGTATCCAGACAAAGTTTTTTCATTTCAAAGCGTTGCACGAGTTACACATATCATCGGTCTCGCAATTTTATTCAATTAACTTTCACGATCCTTTACCGATCCATTAATTATACCCGTGTCGACGAGTTATTAGCCTGCCTCTCTCGTTCGCTTCGTTCAGATTCACGTCCTCTCCTTCGTGTACAACGATTTATTCGCCGGCCTAACGAATTAATTCCCCGTTTTCGTGAAATAATAATGATCGTTCGAAGAGGTAGCGAGCGTGTCCTCTTGTTCGCGACGGTATCGAGGTCGGGTGCCGGGTCGGTGGGTAATCTTCTTAACGAAGAATCGTCCCTTCTGCCGGTGAAAGAGGGAAATACCTCGGTGGATCCAATAAGCGGCTATCGGATACGCTTGTCTATTCTCCGGAGAGATGAAATTCGTGACCAAAGCGGTGAGAAAGAGAGAAGGAAAACACGGGGAGAAACAATCCCATTCTACCAACCCCCCCATCGAGGCTCGGGGGCAGAAAGAGGTCCGGGATTGAGGACGAACGAGTGGCAGGTGCGTCTGTTTCTAGGATGAAGCTTGCTTGGGGGAACCTTAATACGGTATTTCATCGGTCATAATGCGCCCTTTCCACCAAGACCTATCCTTTTGTCTCGTCCCGGTGAAACTGGTGCGCGACGATACAATCTTTCCCTCCAGACGCGCCTGTTTTACTTTTCCTCGAATTTTCTTGCTACCACTGTACATGGTAGAGAGAAGGAATTTTTTTTTTATAAAATATTGCTCCTCGCCAAGCGAATGATAAGGGAAGATTATCAGATTTTATGAGATCAGATATCGGGTGGCGTTGCAAGAAAAGTTCGGAAAACTTTGGGAAACTTTGAACGACCGATTGAAATCATATTCTAGCGAACAGATATCCGTTCAGAACACGGAGATATTCGATTAGCAGAAAAGTTTCCCTTCTGCAACTGGAGCCAGTCTATAAAAGAAGAATTTGGGGAGGAAAGTTTACCTCGTTGCGCATGGATGATCGGCTGGGATATATTTTAGTAGATCTCGAAAGATCTTGCTATCCTAGAGACAAATTACGCGAGCAGACAGGATTGTACACGAATTTAAGTCGCTTTATCCTCCGCGCGAACGGTCTTTGTTCTCGAAATGCCCCGGTATCCCGAGGGATAACGCGTGTGTAGCTGTTTTTCGGCCAAACGCGACTGATTATTCCGAGATAGGGAATAATAGGTGCGCGAACAAAGCGTCCCGACGCACACCGACGCCCCGTTGGTATAGCTGCTCGCTTATTAACGCCCTACGAAGTATTGTCCTTTTGCTCCCTTTGACGCGTCCTTCTCCGCTTTTGTCGCGTTTTCACCGAACACAACCAGGGAAAACCGAGACGCCTCATCGCGTCGTTGATAATTTCGCGTCGCGATAACGTGGACCGAAGGCTCGAGGCGTCGACCTCCCTTCGTTTTCATTCAGAAGAGCCGCATAAATTGCTCCGAGGGAAAAGGACACACGAATTTCCGATTTGAAATGGTGCGTCTCCATGGTCCAACATCTTCGAGTTTCTTCTTTTTTTTTTTGCTTTTCAAGCTGGTCGAGGTAATTCCAGTGGAAGTTTTCTGCTGAGACTCGGGAAACTGGTCTCTGTTCTCGGTGGACAAAATTGGAAAAGCAGCGAGGATCTTGTTCGAGAACGATCGAAGGATCGTTAACGTACCTTGTGGCGTGGAACGAAGCGAGCTGAAAAGGAAGTAGAGAAAATAGAGAGGCAGAGGCAGAGCATTCAGCTAAAGGCACGTAACAAATTTGCTAGCACGTGTGCTACGTGGTCGAAGCTGAATCTCTCGAAGCAGACTGTATTTTTTCAACACGTTTTTACGTTCTCTCGTTAAATGCACGTGGCTGTGGAAAATCTTCCTTATTACCCGTGCGATCTTTATATTCTAAAGTTATTTCATTTTTCGAACGTGAAAAGGGTTCATCGAGTTCATCGACGTTCGAGAAAAAAAATTGTTTTTCCATTTTACTCCCTCGTTTTTTCCCAACCATGTTTCGAAACTTTCTTTCGTTCCGGCGAGCAATTTGATTCCAGTTTTTCACGGGCCACGTTTCCCGGTTTTTCACGCGGTTGAACGAAACAAATCGATCGGACCGCGGGGGCGTTGTTGCACCGCCGCGGGCTGAATTTCAAAACGGCGAAGAAAAATAACGCGAAGCGAAGCGAAGGGAAGGGAAGGAAACGTGTTTTTCCATCGGTCCGCGTTCCTCCCTTTTTCTCTATCTCGACTATTACCCAGTTATCGACGGTGGTCGCGTTAGAAAAACGCGTACGAATTTAATGTACCACGACGAAAATATTGCCCGCGATACCCTTTTGTGCCACTGTGTCGACCGAACCCGAAACTTTCCTCCACTTTTTCCGCTTTCCAGCCCGTTAACTCCTAAGAAAAACACTCCCTTTAGCTGGCGTTCTATGGAAACACGAGATTTAAATAACGGTTTAACAGCGAAACTTTGCGTCGTCGTTCCTGCGTTTGTCACGCAGTAGAATTTATTACTTCTGTACCGTGGACGCAAACAGTTCACACTCGAAAGAACTTTGTTTCTCTTTGTTCGAACGCAAACGTGTTATCGGAACAGAGAGAGATTTCCTCTTAACGACCAACAGACGAAAACGCTGAGGAAGCGAAACTGTCGGTAGTAATCTGTGCATTCTGCTCGTCGTTGCATCTGAATCTCTTTCTTTTCGCCAAGCCACGCAAAAGAGGGTGGAAACATCCCCTGGAGGTTCCTCCACCTGGAACGAGTCGCGTAAAAAAGTCTGCTTCTAGCAGCTTGGAGCACCATCGTCCAAAGTGTCCTCGTATTCTTCAAGTTTTATCGCGTTCACGTGGCCCCGTGAAAAGCGTCGAGAATGGTGTATTCTCATACGGAGAACTACCCCAGTAATACCCTCACTTATTGATGAAACTTTGCCAGCTTGTAAAGTTCGTCGAGCTGAACACGCCTATACCCTGTTTTGTGGGCAGACGGCTAATTGTTTAAAATATATTAATAATTAAAGTTAGTTACTACTTACGTTGAGAAGTATAACAAACTCACACATACCTACAACTCGCAGTCTAGAGATCCACAGTTCAAATCTTTGGTTCCCAACATTTTTTTTTTCTTTAATGATAATTTGTTTCTTTTTGAATAACTATTACATCGAAATTATCATGAAAAAAAAAAAAAAAAAATTCGGAACCAAGGATTTGAACCCAGGACCTTTAGATTGCGAGTCGTGTGTCTAACCACGCAACGGATCCATGCCTCGCAATTTAATGGTCCTGGATTCAAATCCTTGGTTCCGAATTTAAAAAAAATTTTTTTTTTATGATAATTTTTATGTAATAGTTATTCAAAAAGATACAAATTATCATTAAAGAAAAAAAAATGTTGGGAACCAGGGATTTGAACCGTGGATCTCTAGATTGCGAGTTGTATGTGTTTGTCATACTTCAGAAAATAAGGAACTGTAATTGTTAATATCTTTTAAACAATTAGCCGTCTGTCCCCAAAAGGGGGTATAGGCGTGTTCAGTTCGACGAGCTCTACAAGCTGGCAAAGTTTCATTAATAAGTGAGTGTAACACTTGGATAGTTCCCCTCAGTAGCTGTACTTTCAATCGAACTACGCCAGATTCGCGTCAATCCGGATTTAAAAAGAAAAAATAAGAAAAACTTTGAAAAGTTAAGAAACGAAGGAAGCCGATCAGACGCAAACTGCAAGTTCTAAAGACCTTTTTTGTCGAAGGGTTCGCGAGGAGAGAAAAGAAGGGACAGGATTTTCGTTGGCCAGGCGTGTGAACCACCCGGCCAGCGGTTCCTGGCTCGTTTTTGCGCGTCGAAAAGGAAATGAAGAAGAGAAGGAAAGTCGTCGGAAGAAAAGAGACGGAAAATATAGGGGCCCTTCTTTAATGCCTCGCAGCGAAATTCGCAAAACGTTCGGGAACAGCTGCTGGCTTGACGTCCCAGCGCGTTTACCAGTCATTTCCTCCTCGCTCTTTCTCTCGCCTCGTCTTCCACCTTGCTGTTGCCGTATTTCCGTGCGTCTCGAAAATCCACTTCCGGCGTCTTCGCGCCACGGCTTCGGGATTACTCCCTGTCAAAGAGGACAGGGCTGGTCGATGAATAAACACTCTTTCGGCCGGAAACGAGTCACCCTTTCGAGCGGTTCCGTCGTTTCCGCGTTTCGATGACGAATTGATTCTAGATTTCCTTTCTGTTTCTCATCTGTCGCTGACCGGAAGAGAAAACGATCGATTAGCACATATTTATCAGTGGCGAAAATTCACGGTACGCGTTGCCTCTCCATTCTTGATGGTATCTGTTTCTTTCAAGGCGTTCGTTCGAGTGGTGTGTTTGACCGGTGAAAGGGTTAATCCGGCTGACTCGGCTTCTAAGAAAAGGGAGTCCCGGCAAACAGGTGTATCTCCCGGAGAATGCCGAGGGGGAAGGAGGTGAACGGGATAGCCGGGGCTGTGACCCTTTTGCCAACCTTCCTTTCGCAGAGCCGCGTGTACAATAGAGGTCAGACTGAAAGGGATTCGAGTCTGTATCACAACCGTGGTTTTCATGCTTTCGTGACAGCTCGAGCGGGTTAATTCCTTTAGAAATCCAGCATTTGAAACATGTCCAACAGGCACCGTTTCTACATCTTTCCGTACACGAGCTCCGCATGTTCCACTTCGATGGACGGAGCTAGAAAATCAATTTCAAACAGTTGATCGGTTTGATAGCTCGATTATCAACGGGTAACAACGAATCGCCCGCCTATTAGTTCTCCTATCTTATCGCGTAATGAACGCGTTTTAAAGGCGCGATACCAGGGACCTGATTCCTCTCGCTGCTTTAAATTATTACCCAGCCGAAGGAGAACAATAGTGTCTAATGGCAGTTTTGTCTTATCGGTTCCTAACGCGTCGTTCACGCTTTAAGACGGCGTACCACTTGATAATTCTCGAGCACTCGAAGTCCTTGTGCCGGTTGCTAAGATCGGTATTTAACAGCTAATCGAACAAGTATTTAATAAGTGTGTAAAGCTTCGGTGAGTAGCCAAGGGGAAATAATTTCGAAGGAAGATCGCAATCCACTGTATCTTCTCGAGTGTTCTTAAGCCCGCAATGTCGAGTGTTTTCTCCCACAGCAAAACGAACGAATCGTGGGTAAATGCAAGATTCCTGTTTCCTCTTATCCGCGAGATAACGCTTGCATCCATCCGGAAAGGAATGCGCACCGACATCGATGCTCTGCAGAAATACTGCGGTACCAATTAACGTTCGTATTGTTGAAACGCGTTTGAAACCTCTTCTTCGTGGTAGGTAAGTAGGGCAAGGTGATTCCATCCTTTCTCTCGGGCTCTCGCGAGCAGCGGTTGCAAATATTTGCGGGAGATCGTGAGAGAAAGAGGGAGAAGATTTTCCCTCCTGTTTGATCAAGGAAATCCTTCGCGCTAAGAGTCTCCATTACCGTTGCGCTGTCAATTCCATTACAATGTCCCGACAGATTTTCTCGCGGCGGAGAAATAACGGCCGACTTCCGTCATTGAAAACCTATATTAACCGTTCCTTTACCTCGGTGGATGTAATTGGAAACTTCCATTAATATACGCCGGGAGACTACTAATTTCCAAATTGCTAAGGATAGGGTAATCGTTAGGATGGCGTAGAGAAATGGATCGAAGGATGATGAGATAAAAATGTTAATTATCAGCGTCACGAATACATGACACAGACCGGCCGTCGAAGCGTTAACAGTCTCGTTGGGGTCGCGTTAGGCCTGCAGCACGTTTTCTATCGAAATACACGAGCAGAGTGTGGTTATGTAAATTGGAAGCTAGCGTGTAATCTCGATCGAAGCGTTTTGCTTTGCACGCCTAACCCAAGATTTTCTCCTATCCTCGAGAAAAATCAATGCCGCTGTGTAATTCGCGGCCAAGCGGAACAACGGCGCGGTATGCTGATCCGCGAAGCGTGAAAGCCGTCTCGAGGAGACGAAACAAAAGCGCTGTTTTCTTCTATCATCGAGACAACTCGAGCAGCACGCGAGAACTGGCGCGGGGGCCGTTCTGGAATTTGCAGCAATTTATGGGGGACACGTTGGCTCGTTTACAAGTAGCCGGACGGTGGCACACGGTTCGGTGCAGGCGTCGGGCTTTGACAAATGGATCGAAATTGCCAATTATCCGTGTGCCGCGTTTTCTCGTCTGCCAACACGCGGGCTGTGCCCTGTTCGATAAAAATTTCGCGCTCGGAAACGAAGCGTGAACGGGTGGAAAAGGCGAGTGTCAGTAATCTCGCTTTTTCTCGCGTGTCTCTCGTACGCTACGCGGTTTGTGTTCCCTTTCGATCGTCGATTCTGGACGCGTCGTAGCCGATATCGTTCACGCACCATCGCAGTCGCACGCGAGAAACAGCCCCTCGAGCACTTTATCCGTCGTAGGCGTTATACGACCACGTAGCCGAGCGTGAAAAGTAAATCAACGCCAGAGCGGCTTGGCTATTGTGTCGGTTATTATTACCATTAGTTATATACTGCTTGTTCCTTTTACGGCTGTAAGTAAGAAACGTTAGGCGAACATGGATCCCAAAGTGCTTTATTGAAAAGTTATGGAGAAAAAACAGGATTCGTTTAACCCCTTACATCAGGCGAACAATGCGTGGGTTGATGATAAGCGATATCGAGCTTCGAGATATTATAAGTTTTGTCAGGTTGAAGAAAGTAGGTGTATTAAGCAATTTACTCTCTATACACATATCTGCGAGAAGGATCTACCCTGTTGATTTAAAATAAATTAATAATAATCTCGATTGATCCAATTGATCTGACCTGTGTCTCTCTGTTTTTTGTTGCAGGTAAATCCACTGAACAATCCTATTTAATTCTAAGAGAGGTGGACGGTAGGTAATCCGGTAGGAAAAATAATGTTTCGTCGTTTGGGATGGAGGAAAAGGGATTCACGTGTTGGTGACTTTTATCGGGAACACCATTCCCGTCCGCCTTAACACCTCGTGGGGAAGGAACGGTGATTTATACGAGCTTGATCGGCCGTCCTAAGCCTCTCTCGTTAGAATCGATTGCGCGAGGGTGGACGAGGAACGCGCGTTGCTTCCATCCCTGGTCACGTTTTACCCCTGCCGAAATTAGGTCGTCTCGACGTTTCGATCAGATTTCTCGAAACAATTCTCTCAACTGTCAGCCTGCCGGATATTCTCGAGCAAAGAAATTCGCGTCGATGAAAAATTCGCCAAATGTGAACGTCGCTCGAGGATTCGTTCTCTTAAAATTCCTTGCATCGACTTTAAAAACGGCACGCTTGTCGTTAAACGTTCAATCGCTCCGAGATTGGCTCGTTAGGCGTACGTTCGGTTCGCGATCCGCCAGAGGAATAATAATAGCCGAGGAAAGGATAGAGAGAAAAGAGTCGTAGCGTATGTATCGTCTTCTTAACGACGTCTCCTCAGGACGCACGAACCTCGAATCAACGATTTATTATCCGTCCCGCGAGGATCAATACCATCGAAGAAGATGCATTCCCACGTTGAAATTGAAATCTATTCGCCTTCTCTTGTCTCTGCGCCTTCCTCCCCGCCTCGTCCGCGAGCGTTGTTGCGAGTCTTGATTGCCAGTCGGCTGTAAAGAACGTTCGATGCATACGACGTCGGCATGCAGCGGTTGCAAGAGACAACGACCGACTTCAAGGTAGTAGCAAAGCCAAGTCGTCAGTCGACGGGGCTTATGTAAGCTGCCTAGATGTTTCGAGGTCTGCCGTGCGCTAGGGGACGATGAACGCTAGTGCTAGCGATAGTCGTATTTCCCTTTGCTGAGCAAGCTTTTCTTTCCGATCCGAATTTCAGATGGGATTGTGTTTGGAGAAAGCGGAACGAAAACACCGTACCTAGATGCTTCGGCTATTGTCTCCCGGGAGTAGAATGTAAAAAAAGAAATATGCAAGCTTATTTCACATATTTGTTCTAATTGAACACGTGTTTGCTCGCAAACGTTTCAGCAGCCGCGAACGTGTTAAATCGGCAAGCTGATAGCGGGCATATTAGCAAAGTTGCAGGTTTGAGTACATTGTATGGCTGATTTGCCATGTACAAGGTGTACGCCGTCAGGAAAACGAGTTTATTAAAAGCAACCACGTTCTGTCGATAGCGATCGACACACTGGCCAAACCGGAATGTCTCGTTCGCGTTGCAGCAATTTCCGTGACTGCATTCGAAAGCTTAAAGAATGCAACGAGGCCCTCCCCCTCGTAGCTGAATGGGTTCCGCGAAAGAAAACGTGTCAACGGGTATCACGTGTCCCTTCGTCGTGGAAAGCAAACGTACCCGGGACAATTTCTACCCGGTTTGAAGGATACGCCGGTGGGTGCAGACGGCTCCCAAATGACGCGTACCATTCGAATCTCGTCGATCTTTATACGCCTTCCCTCCCGACAGTTCCATCAATTTCTATATACGCGAAAGGAAAGATACGCCCACGGTGGATGTAAAACGCGGCGAGAGTCTCTTTCTCTCTGGAGAGTCTTGTAACGGGGCGTTTTATTCAGAGCTCGGATCCTGCTATCGACAACTCATCGAACGAGATAATGGAAAAATGACGGCTACCACCGGTTTCTTGATAGGCTACCGTTCAAAAGCCTTTTCTTTAAAGCAGCTTTTTATATACCTCGGTGGACCGATTACGAATAATTGGATGCAATTGCCGCGATTAGAGTAGCTCGAACCACCCGTTACTTTTCCTCCTTCTTGATCTTGTTGCCTCTTAATTTGCTGTTACCGCGTTCCTCGTCCAACGCCACGATTCCATGGGCTCGGGTAATTCGATGCTTACGATCGGTTTCTATGGGACGATTTACGGGAATCATACGTTGGCAGTGTAGAAGATGAATTCGCGATGACACGCGACGAGGCACGCGTTTTCCTGCATTCCCAGGCGCCTTGGGCAAACGGTGCACCCGTGTAACGAGCTTCATTTTTTATAATTTTCTACCACACGTGAATTTTTACACGTAGAATCGATGCTCTCGAAGTAGAGTCGATAGGACGGAGAAAAGGATGAGGGGGGAATGCTTCTAGACGAGGTATCGGAAAAGCGATTTCAGCCGACGTCGCTCATACTTTATCCGATAAAACGAGAGGTCCGGCGACGAACGTCGATTTTAACTTGGAAAATTCGCGTTTAAGTTGTTGATCGATAGAGAAAATATCGGTTGGTTTAAGCAAACGTTTCAAGGAACCCGCAATCTTCTCGGCCAGACTCGATGATAGGTCTCGATTGACCTTTCGTCGGTGTCGTAGTTAAGTTCCTTCCAGACACGGGTTGTATCTTCGAACTTTCGATCGGATGTCGTCGAACTTTCCGACCAGCAGCTCCGAACAACTCCCCGGACCCAGGTCGGACATTTAAATGCAAATACACTTTTTTACTTATATTTATATGCAAATATGGGCGTTCCCGCGCGGCGGATGGAAGCTGGCTGGGACGCGGCGCGAATAAAAACGGCGGGTATTTGAGAAAAGGCAATGTTCGCTCGCGATACCTTGCAATTATCCTCAGTCGAGCCATCTACCAATCACGGTGACTGAAATTCTCGGTTTTTCACCTTCGTTTTATCAAAATTCCTGAAACTTGAAGATCAAGTGAGACGAGTCGCGTAACGACGTGCCGTTTCTTCGAGTACTCGATCACTCGGGCATGTATCGTTATCGGCAAGCAGACTGCATTTTCCTGTTCTTTATCTTCCTCCGATTTTTCCGGATTCATTTGTTCGAGGAACTTTACTAGAACCATCGAGCTTTCCTAGTGTTTTCACCGAAGGCGACGGAAAACGGCGTCGAGCTTTTTCCGCGATGAATTTTCGCGGGAATTCAAGAAATTCGCAGATGTCGCGAGGGAATCTCAGCGAGGAGACGTTTAAAATGTAGATGCACTCATTTAAATACCTTGGTCCGCGTTCGCGATTTAATCGTCCTCGTTTTCTTCGGCCCTTGCCGTGTTTTTCCCCCCCTTTCTCTCGCCGCCATTATCTCGACAAGGGTGCTCTTTCTTTCAGCGTTGCGTCGAGGGGCGAGAGAAAGAGATAGCCGATCTGTAATCCGAAAGTTGTCAGCCGCACATCGCGCTGCCCTAATGGAATTTGAATGTCGTTAGCCGAAGTAACCGGGCGTGAGGAAGGGACCTTATCCCTATTACCGCCTCCTCGTCGACCCCTCTCCTAGTTTGTGCCGATGATACGGCCTCTGCCGCAGGTATCGCCCTTCAGGACGAGCCTTTCTATCCGGCCAAGTTTATTGGAGCGCGAAAACGCGTCGGGTTAGGATGATCGTTCTTTTCCTTTCTTTCTCTCTTCAACCTTTGTTCCATGTACTATTTCTTTCGACGCCCATTTCTGTGCAAGAACGATCATACAGGGCGCGTCAACCCCTCCCGAAACTTTCAACTAAGCATGCTTTAACGCGTTTAATCCTTCATTATCACATCGAGATTTGAAAAGCTGCGAGACAAACCATAGTTTGCACTTATTTTCGGATCGCGTTATAGAAGGAAGGATCGATTCGACGTGAGAAACAAACGAACGGAATTTTGAATCGACAGCAAGATTTTCGAAGAATGGCAGACGACAAAGAAGACTTCAAGAAGCTCTTCAGGAGAAGGCTTCCTCAGTACATGGCTGCGACAGCAGGTTCTCTATTCTCTCTTGAACAAATTTCGTGACGCGATCGACACTCGCGCGAATCTCCTTCACTTTCCGATAAACCGTGTCTAACCTATCGTTGATAAAATGTGTTGCTACGAAACGCGCGATTATCGATCGACGAACGAAGGTTCTGTTATCGGACGGGAATAGTTTGAGAATTTGAACGAATCGATGCTTTCTTAGCGTGCTTGGGTGGATTCTCGTTGGGAACCAGTCTAGGATGGAGCGCGCCTTGCGTGGAAATATTGAAGAGCCAGTACAATTACAACGTGTTCTCGACCAACGTGGTCGCGTCCGTGCTTCCACTGGGCGCAGCATTGGGCATGATCGTGGTGCCATTTTTGATCGACAAGATCGGCCGAAAATGGACGATGTTGGCGCTCGTACCACCGATGCTCCTCGGTTGGCTCCTCATCATTTCCGCCGTGTCCGTGGTAGGCTTGGTGATCACTGGCAGATTTTTAATCGGCGCCTGCGGGGGTATGTGCTGCGTCGCGGCGCCGATGTACACCGCTGAGATCTGCGAGAAGCAGATCAGAGGTACGATCATGTGATCTTGGGTCGTTACGTATCCAATTGGAAACATAGAAATTGGGTACGGAATGATCTGATGTGTCGCTTTCGAACGATAGTATTTGCTTCTCTAAATGGTAAAGTAATGATAGAATATGCCTTTTAAGGACAGACGGGCAATAACTCCTTCTATCTCTATCTCGTTCCATTTAGAAAGGTGATTCACGCTTCATTCTTTCTGTACTCGACTCGCTCTCGCTCTAATCTTGGAATCTGAATAATCTTCCTCTATCACGATAGCTCTAAAGAGAAGTCTAAACCGAATCTGTGTTCCTCAATCAGGCACTCTGGGCGTGTTCTTTCAATTATTGCTCGTGATCGGGATTTTGTACGCTTACTGCTGCGGCTACAGTAGGAGCGTCATCTGGACGTCGGCGTTGTGCGGCGGGACGCCCATTCTGTTCGCCTGTGCCATGATCTTCATGCCGGAGAGTCCGCTTTACCATTTGTCGAAGAACGACGAGGATTCCGCGAGGAAGTGTATGCGATTCCTCCGTGGACCGGACACAAATTTCGATTCAGAGATCGACGCTTTCAAAGTTAGTCCTTGGATTCATCAAGAGACACCTATTCAGAGCGACAGACTCTGATTAAGGTATTTTTGAATTTCTAATGTGTTTCAACAGGAACAGGTAGAACATAGCCACAAGCAGAAGGTGAAACTGTCGGTGTTCCTGAAGAAACCTGTGCTAAAAACCCTGGGACTCGCGTACGGGATGATGTTCGCGCAACAATTCAGCGGGATTAACGCGGTGATTTTCTACGGGGAGACGATATTCAAGCAGACCGGCGTCGAGATGGATTCTCTGCTTCAGGTGGTCATCTTCGCGGTGGTCCAAGTTTTCGCCTGCGTTGTCTCGGCCCTGTTGGTCGACAAGGTGTTGAGATACCCTCCGGTGATTCGAACACCGTGCTCGTTCGAATCTTACCGAGCACGGTGTTCAAGGTTGGATCATTTAAAACAAGGGAGGTCGTTTTTGTAGCTGGGTCGAAAGTTCCTAATGATGTTATCCATGGGCGCGATGTCCCTCTGCTTGCTGGCCCTCGGTGTCTTCTTCCTGGTGAAGAACAAACAGCCCGACAAGGTTTCTCACATCTCTTGGTTGCCACTCACGTCTGCCTGTCTCTACATCCTGACCTTCTGTCTTGGCGCCGGTTAGTACAACGATCATCGATCTCCGATTTCATGAATCTCGATCTCGATCAGAAGGGTCGGTTAATCTTTCGATGAAAATAGGTCCCATACCGTGGGCGTACATGGGCGAGATCTTCCCCGCGAAGCTGAAGGGTGTAGCTTCCTCTAGCGCGGCTTTCTTCAATTGGATCCTAGCTTTCACGGTAACGGTGTCGTTCTCCACCGTGACCGACACGATCGGAAACGCGCCCACGTTCTTCATCTTCTCCATAATTTGCACCCTGAGCGTGGTATTTCTGATGTTCTTCATGATCGAGACCAAGGGGAAGACTTTCGCCGAGATTCAGCAGGAATTTGGCACGTTCGATGTGGAGGACTGACAAGTGGAGGTTCTAAATGAATCCAAGGAGAAGAGGGAAAACTCGATGACCCAAGGAATGGATAGCTTTATAATTCAATTTATCCGTAAAATAAATGTTATCGTAACTCGAGGTAAACGAACGCGACTCTATTAATACTATAGAAAATAATCAAGGCAAACGATTTTAATCAGAAACCACCCTTTTGTGTTTAAATTGCACCAGGGGGGTTGAAGAGAAAAGAGTCGTTCGTGTTGCCACGCTTTCCGGAGAGACGAATTCCTCTCAAAGCGTCGGAGGAGAAGGGAAGCAGGATGCTAAACTTGAACTCGGGATTATGCGGCTCGAGCATGCACGTATGTGCATCGACACGCACAATGGCGTATCCACGCACCCACCGGGTGCCTTGCCCTTGGAAGCGGGTCTCGAGCCGACAATGATCCGCTTGTGGCTGGCTCCACTCGTTTCGAATGAAAAATCCGCTGAGATTAGTGCACGAGCAGAGTTACGCGTGTAACGAGAAGCCCCGACGTTTGAGCGGAAAAAGGCATGAACGCGTTCTTTCATGGACGTTGACCCGAGAGAGGATAATCGAAGAACATCGACTTGATCAATGAGCTTGATTGATGTTCCACGATGCGCTGGAACTTACGAAACCTCTCTATTTCTCTTTTTCTAATAACGGCTTAAGTTTTTCCAAGGAAGAAGGGAATAAACGATGTCGTTAGGGGTACTTGACCGTTGCAACGTCTCGGGATCTTTGACCCGATCGTAGTCTTTATTTTTACGATACACATTCATCAGAAATCTATTAACAGGGTAGGGTTGCTCTGGTGATAGCTCGAAGGGGGTGATTCGACCCCGTGGTAACGTCGGATTGCACGCAGCGACGAGGAACGACTGCACACGGACGTGCATTTGTCATGCAGTTGCCGTCGCCTTGGTAGGCGTTCGCTTTCATCGATTATGCATTCGAATTTATATTTATGAAGCGTAGTAGCTGCGCTCGTATCGCCGTTCTAATAATGGATGCTGCTATAAAACCTTCTCGTCGTTGCTCGCTGCCTACGCTCCTGCGTTGTCTCCGTTGCAGATTTTCCGCTTTATGTAGTCGGCACGTTACGCGGATCTGCTTTACGGATTTCGGGGGAAATATTTCAACGGGAGTGATTCCATTTCAGCGACTCGTAGCCGGATGTTTTCGATTCCGCGACCCGGGTGAAGGTGAGCAACGGGTGATCGCGGTTACGAATATATTATTCATTTTTTCATGTTATTATAGTAAGTCAAGGTGTCGACTTTAAGAAAATCGACGTATGGTACGTACGCGGGGCGCTCGTTTCCCTTCGTCACCGAATAAATTTACCGGCGAAACCGAGAGTATAAGAGAGAAAGGAGGCAGGTCGTAAGAAACAGCCCCGAAGCGGGAGGGCAGCCGAGACCAGACGAGTTTTTCGCGCGTTCCCGCAAGAACGGACCCGGTTCTTTCTTCGTGGGAAGAAAGCAGGCTTCTGGAAGCGACAGGGGAAGAAAGTCGCCAAAGGACCTTTGACGGGATATCACGGTCGTCGACAAACTGATTGAATGCGTTTTCGAAATTCTGGTTTCAGACTCGGAAACGTGTTTCTTCATGACAATTCTGTATAAATTATATTTATTCATAATTCTATGATATTCGGACGTTTTGAACGAGTTTGACGTTGAAAACTCGTTCCATTAGAGTGAGAACGATCTTATCTGGTGCATTACTGACAAAACCTGTTAACACTTGGAGTACCGCGTTAACATTCTATTTCCGATAAACGAAGTACTATATTTTATATTCAAAGAGGTGTTAGAATTCGTGTCGATTTTCTCCTCGTCATTGGCGCGGATAAATGTGGACCAGACTCGATCCATCCCGATATCCTTTTCAAGCGACGCTGGACCGACCCAGTGGTCGTGCACGGTAGTCGATCGCTCGAGAGAGCCAGTTCGAACCGTGTCTCTTGTATATTTCATGAACGTCGAGTTTCCATCCTCGTCGGTGCACCGCCAGTACAGAAGGTCCGTGCACGTTGCTGACGTGGATACCGAGCCACGCACGATTCCATCGGCCAACCATTTTATTATACGCGACATTCGTGTCTGTGGAAAATTGCTTTTTTTGTTTTTTTATCCAGCCACCCGGACAGTTTTACGTGCCGCGATAAGGATGATTACAAAAATAAAGTTTGCATTTAAATACACCCTTGATTTTCTACAATTCCATGAAAAGAGACTTTAAAGGGGATAGGTCAGGTGATATCGTCTCTTCTTCTTTCTTCTTCTTGCCCTCGTTTCGTCGAGGCGAAGTTTCTTGGCTTCGAACTCGAAGCGACTTCAATTCAATTCGAACTTTCGAACACAAAGGGTTTTATTTTTCTTCTTTTTTTTTTTTCTTTTGCAGTCGACGATACGATCTACTATTCCTCCCTCCTCTCTGGATGCCGTTCTCCTATTTTGTAGACTTGTTTACTTGTCACCTCTCCGTTGGAGCGCGTCGCGTTTCGACCCACACGCGATCCACGCTTCAAGGTTCCACTCGCGGATCGCTTGGCAGACGACACGAACGCGCTCGCGCAGATGCAAGCCCCTTTCCCTCTACCTCCTCCTCTCTTTTAACCTCCTCTCGTTCACTCTTTCGTGCGCCTCGATTGCACACTGCACCATTGCACCGCGGGGCCAATGCCCTCGCAGCTTGGTATCGTCGACTCCGCTCGCTAGCCTCGCTGGCTCTCGGCGACAGCTCGAGCCGTGTACAGTCGAAAAGCGTGTGCAGGCTGCTCGGTCGCGCGCTTTTTTACCAGTCTCTCCCTACTTTCCGCGGTTTATCGCGTGCACGAGGCCGCGCATGCAGCTCTCGCTCCCCTTTCGTCGCCCAGCATCGAGAATTCAACGCGAAAGGAGGACGGGTCACCGTGTCGCGAGCTGATTTTTCCAGCATGCACTTTTGTCGATCGGGGAAAACCGGCTCGAACCTTTCGATTCTCTTTACCCATTCCGGTTTCGAATTCAGTCGAACCGAGGAACGGATGATCTCTCGACGAACGAGAAGATTGCGAGGTCTTCCGGGTCATTCGATGCGCAGACGTTGATATTCCAAAATTTCGCGGACAATTCGCGAAGGGGTTAATTAATTTCTATTCGCGACTATCTCGAACGAGAGATGCTGGTTTCCTCTCGTGTTGGTCGGTCGCGCTATCGGGCTTCCACAAATAACGCGGCAGCAGAAATAAACGCGTATCGGCTCTGTTATGTATTAGCGTCCGTGTATATGCGACTATCGTGCATCTGCTATCCGCTTTATCCGTCTCTTTTGCCGACCGAGAGAGAAGCAAGCTCGTAGGAGGGCAACGTCAATGGAGATCGCTGTTCCGAACCGGGTCTTACACGGAACCTTTTATCGCTCGGTGTCCGTGGCTCGGGGTGAAAGAAACTACTGTGAGGGCGTGTGACATCAATGGACGCGTTCCCTGGCATCGAGCTTTATCGCCGATAGAAACGTCGATCATCGGCTCTTTCGATTTTCTTTGTCTTCCTTTCAGACCCACTCGATGCTTTCATGGCTTTCCTGTAATCCTGGCGAAAAGATACTACAGTCCCTATTTAAATTACCAATTTTTCATCAATCGTACCGATCGAAACGCCTCCTCACTCGAGATATCCCGTGAATCGCGTTACTCGTTAAAGGAGATCGGCGAACGCCGTCACGGTGCGTATGCATTTCCTCGCGACCCAGTTGCATACAGAATGCAACGACCGTGGGCTGCGCGTGGCTACCCACGGTATACCCTGTCGTCGATTCAAGCTTTCTCCGCTTCGAAAACCGCTTACTCCTCTCGCCTTATCCTGCAGCTTAACGGAGGTCATCCTCAAAAATTGAACTCGTCGCGTCTCGATAACGGAAGCGATTGTTTAACGGTGCTCGGGGCGTATCTGAAATCGCGCGACACTTCTCGTTTTTCCGTTCGAAGACGACCGGTTTTCTAAGTCGATGGTCCACGGTAAAAAGTCTCCGGTGTATCGATGCCGGTTCGATGTATCCTGCTCTCGATGAGAAGTTCGCGTGACGTTGATACTAGGAGAAGGTTTTTCTCTCTGTCGAAAGTTGGCCTGGGTAAAAACGATTCAGCGTTTTTTCCTTGATCTACTTTGAGAGAAACTGACCGTTCTATCGGTAGAGAAGAAAATTCCGGTAAAATTGAAGAAAAAGTCATCGTAGTTCGTCTGAAGATCGATGGGCTTTTTCTTGAATATCGACAAAGTTCCTTTCGTAGTAGAATATTAATCGTCCCTGAACGATTCCTCGAACTATAGCCATATTTTAATGAAACAAGCTTTCTTTATGGGTGCGCACGAAGAATTTTGCGAGCGATTGTATTTTTCGTATAAATTTTCGTCAAAGGACACTCGAATACGCAGCATCGCTTTGTAATGGAACGCTTCTTCCCCTCGACGTCGAAATCTTTGGACGAATGGAGGAGGGTGAGGATCGAAATTCGTTTTCGAGTGGCGTACGCGAGCGAATATAAAATATTCGCGGGGCATCGAAGGAGGCAGCCAAGGGTCTCTTTTAATTACGCGGTCGGGGCAGCGCGAGGAGAGAAAGCGAAGGGCTGTTCGCCGGAGGCTGTCAGTGGGGAAAGAGAAAGAAAGAAAGAAAAAGTACAGGATCATAAAGCATTCGCGCAATAAAGCTGCCTGCAACAACGGGCAGGCTACATATTTTAAGAAATTAATTTGTCGAAGGACAAATTGCCTCGTTCCTCCTCGCGATACACGAGAAGGAACCGAGGGGGTGGGAACGAAAGGGAAAGTTTAACCTTGCCACTCGATCTTTCTTTCCTTTTTCTTTCTCTCCCCTCCAAGCTTCTGAAAGGGTAGAAATCTCGCGAGTCTTTACCCGAGGGGTGGTAGGAGGGCAGCATCGCGGAAACTCCGTTTCGGCTAATTTACGCGCTCGTAAATCTCGCGGCGCCTGGTCGCGTTGTTGCGTTGCAACTCCTCGGCCCCCGGGAAAATAATAACGAAGCGCGATTTGTAAAAAGAGTTGATCGATGGCGGAGGGACAAAGTTTGTCGAAGGGGTGAGAATAGTCTTTAAAGTCGCATCGTTCTATCTTGAAATATTTTCCATCCCCTCCACGAGAATCTTCTAAAGCTCTTTTATGAAACGCCCTGTATAATTTCCTCCCACGCGTCGTTTCGGTGGAGTGAAATAAAACTCGCAGCTTTACCGTCGCGTCTCTGAGTCGTCGAAAGAAACGAAGGAACGCTTTATTTATGCCTTTCTGCGTTTATGGATACGGAAGACGGGGGGTAGCGTTCGTTTTTGCCCTCTGCTCGTCGCGCGTCTCCTTTTTCTTACTCTCCCCCGTCAGGAATTCGAAATCGAGGGTGCCGCGTTTTCTCTCGGCGATGTCTAATCGGCGGCTACTCTGCTCGCTTCGTTGTCTTCCTTCAGGACTCACGGATCCGTGGATACGCGTTCCTGGAATATCGTCTTCACGGAAATCGTCTTCTCGTGGAAACGTCGGATAAAAGTAGCGAGACGTTGCTTCTCCCTGTTTGTCCAAGTATGACAGACACTTCCTCCGGGATTCCGTTTCGTTGCCTTCGACAGGCACGCACCATCGAACCAACATTTTCTGCAGCGTCAGAGTACCAAGTACATATTCGCCTCTTAACGATGATTGAAGTGCCAACATCGCATGTAGAGTATCTCCTGCTAACGATGTCTGTAAATAGCTTCTCCTTTTCTTCCTTCCAGTTTGTCCTTCGATTCAAGTTTCAACCCTTTCACTGACCGAGTCGTTTCAATGCAAAACGCGAGCAATGACATTCTTTGATAAACGAAGTGTCTAGTGATTTTAATCGATGATCTAAACGTACTGTTATTTTCTTAAGGAGTTTCCTTAGAGTATATCTCTTAACTTATGATCACTAAAATTAATTTCAAAAGGAAATTGTTCGTTTTGAATTTCCATAAAGATAACTCTCATTAGCAGGACGGATAAAAGAGGCTCGTGACGAGTATGATCTCTGTCGAGTGTGCGTAACGCAGGCTGTTTCGTAGCCGGCGGCTTATGTGGCACAAGGATGCAGCTCGTCTGGGTCATTACTGTATCACGCTTGTTCGGCCGTGATCTCTCTCGGACGCGTGTTCGATCGTTGTTTGGCCGGGTCTGCATAGCCGCGCGCGATGCATGGTAATCGTGACAGTCGAATGGCAGACACAGGGGGTGTGCAATTTGCGAAAGTACCAGCTATCGAGGCTCGAAATCGAGATTTATGCAACACGCGATTACGCGTCACCTTCGCTTTTAATACCAGCATACGAATTGTGACGCTGATTGTAAAATAAATCATTTTTGTTACCGTCGTTTCGAAGACGGCGCGACGGTATTACTCCTTTCGCTAGAAATCACAGAAGATCCCCCGAAGATTATTCACCCTCTCGATCAGAATCTATAAAGCTCACCCCTCATTTCCAGCATCGTTTCGCGGCAATGTCAGAAGTCATCCCCTTCTTCCCTTACTTCGTACCATAAAAACATTACCATTCACCTTCCTGACGCGTCTTTGCGGGAAGACGACGCGAAGGAGGAGCGACGTCGAGACGCTTCGAGGGTGTACGCTCGAGCGGGTCTCGATAGTTGACGTCTCGCGATAACGGGCCTGAAAGTCGCGAGTACTCGCGCGACGGGACTGGCACGGGATGCTCGGTGGTGCACAATGGGTTTCATTGTGCCGGCGAGACGAGGCAAGACAGCTCGTGTGATAGCTTCGAAGGCGTAACACGCTTCGCTGGAAGCACAGCACGAGCGTGCGAGAAGTTGGAAACGAATCGACGCGGAGCACGCTTTTGTCTGTCGCCTGACGTGTTCACTTTGAAACTCTTTAGTAATTTCATGTTTTACGATTACAACGACTTATTTCTAAGAACGAGTAGACGAACTCTTATCTATAAAAGATCCTTAACGCGGATCGATGTTCTCTCTCTCGGTGCTGGCTTATTTTTGCCCGATTCGCGGAAACTGGAATCTCAACGCAATGTACACTTGACGTCAATTTTTTACGTAACGCGTCGCGAAGAAAACAGATTACCTGTTGGCGATATTGATCTCGTTACACGATCGTTGGTTTTTATTTCGGTTACCGCTTTTTGCGCGTTCGTCATTTAATTGGAATCGATGCGATCATTATCACAGAGGCTCGTTAAGAATTGCTTCTTTTTTTCTTTTTTACAACATTCCTGGGCCCAGCGGTATTAATTATGCCATTAATTCGCAAATGAAACTAAATAGTCTGAATTGAAATGGAAAAAGACGACTTCTTTCCTCGAATCGTTACCGTTTCCGCGAATAATTGCAAGGATGCAGAAGACTTGTCTAGACGAGGGGCATTAACGAGGCAGTTGCAGAAAAGAAAAGTCCCCGAACGTTAACGCGGGAAAAAGGCGAAAGAGGAAAGGAGAGAAAGAGGTTCGGCAGACTTTGCCCGCCGTTCGTGTTCCCTCCGTTGGAGGCGCGAGCAGACGAAACGAAGAGGAGCAATAAATCTTGCAATAATCGCGGTCGTTCCTCGTGTGTCCCTCGCTCTCTTCTTCTCTTCTCCTCCTCCGAACGTCCGCCAACTAGGCTGACTCTCTCGTTGCGGCAATGAACCGAGTCAACTGCTCGAACCACCCCCGCAATTGCGAGCGCGTTAATTCAGCAAGCCGCCTCGTTTCGCGGACGACCTCAGAGCGGAGAAAAAGAATATCGCTCGTTTCAGACGGTCGTGGAAGTTTATCACGATGAATTTGAAACAGTCTACAAAATTCTACCAAATCTCAGCTTCGAAAATTTCAAAATCAGTTTCGAGACTGTACTGGAAGCCAGGAGAGACACGAAGCACGCTAAATTTAGACAGCAAGAGTATCGTCATCGTGATGGAAGAAGCTTCTCCAGTCTGACCGCGAACGCCCCTTCAAGAGAAGTTGCTGGGTATTCTTGACCCTGGCGCGCGTCTAACTTGACATCTTCAACTCGCTTCTGCTTCACCACAGAAGTTATAACGATATACTCGTCGAAGCGATGCACAATGGTCTCGTTCAGCCCGTCGAGAGAAAAGGGCTCGAACTGCAACGCGGAGAATTGAATAAAGCGCGAAGCGCACCGCTGTCGATGCCACGCCGTCGCGTTTTAATTTATGCTCCGAAGTCGTCCATTCATCGAACGTAATTGCGAAGACCTCGGTCTCGAGGATGGAACGTCGCGACGACTCGCGCGTGTTCGATAGGCGTACAATCGGCGACGGGCATTTGCACGCTCGCTCCTCGTGTGTTTGCACAGCTAGACCAACACGTTGCACGCCTTTGCGCGCTTGAATCACGGCCGGAGAAAGAGAGAAAACACACTCGAGTTGTGTGTACCCGACGAGACGCGTGAAGTGCATATTCTGTCGTCCGGACTGTCCACGACGTTTCTCCTCTCCGCTCGAAGGGTCGATCGTTAAGCACCGATTTTATCACTAATCGTCTGTTAATTGTTTCACGCCTGGTATTGTGCGAAACAATTTAGATAATTTGTCCAAAAGACACCTCGTTGAAGAGAGGAAGTTCTCTAGGATATTTCAGAGAACTCATTTATCTCATAATACTTACCATTTCATTTCTCAGTTAATTTTTTCATTCCTCTTCTTTTTTAATGTTTTATCACATCATTAGGTGTGTAATTAGTAATATTCGTTGATAAATTTTATTTGATGATGATTAAGATACACAAGAAACAAACTATGCAAGTACGCGTCCATAATCGGCACGGATAGCTTTTACCTGACGCATATATGCGTCCATAGTAATCAAAGAGTTACCCACCACAGGAAATAAATTTACAAGCGATTTTTTCTAATCCCCCAGCGTTACTTGCACGCAGCGTGAACATACGTACTTGTCGATAAGACGTTAATTCTTAGCGAATACATTCCTCGGGTAATGTAACCACGATAAGGATGCCTCTGGTGCGCGATGCAAGCGAGCCTGTTCTTCGTCGGAGCGTGGAATTTGACGCGTTGCAAGCCACAATTTCCGGCAATTAAAATTCCCGCCGGGATGCCTGGAATAATTAAATAAACGAGGAAATCCCGCTTTCCTTTTTTGGACGGGTGCATCGCGGCGACGCGGCAAGGGTTAGGTCTACGAGGAAATGTTTCCAACCGCGGACGAGCCGAAGAACTAGCGGAATCACGCACACCCCCGTACAGAGATTGCGTTTAATTTGCGAAATCCAATTTCTACAGCTTACCAGGCATTATCGCGAGACAGAGTTTCGAGCGTGAACGAAGAGGAACGGTTAATCTCGGGCGATCCGCAGCTAATTCCATTCGCAGCGGACAGTAGTCAATTGGATGCAGGCAACGTTTTCTACTCGCCGAAAATTCCCGCATTTTCCATTCTGACATCGGTTATCGTTGCTTTATAATTTACCTTATCTAGGTTCAAGAATGAAAGAAAGAGAGCTGGCGCGAGATGAAGAGAGAGGAGGAGCGAGCTAAAATCCCCCTCGTCGCCGCTTATTGCCTAGTGAATTTAGCATGGTGCCTTGGTAGCAGGCTATTTTTGTCCGCTTGGCACTTAGTCAGATCCGCTTCTCTCTCGTTCCCGATCTTTTCCTCGCACCTCCTTCCTTTTACCGGTCTCACTCCTCCGCTTCTTCTCTTTTGAGAGGCGAGAAAACGCTTGGATTCCGCTGGAAACCGGCGCCTTGATGTACTCGGGCGTACACGACGCGTGTGGTCCGCGCGATCTCGGAAAATGCGAATCTGTGAAAACGTATCGAAATCTATGAATATTCAACAGGATTCTGGGACCTTGAACGCAACCTTGTCGAGGAGGATCCTCCTACGAACGCGACCAGGTCATTGTCGTTAATTTTACGAGCCAGTCAGTTGGGGAGCTTTATTGTCCCCCTTATCGTACGATTGACGAGACGACAAAATGTTTATTGTTCGACCGTTTCGCAAGTGTCGGAGGGTTATCGCATCGAGTGTCAAAACATAGAGTTGGATAGGTTGAAAAACCTCGTTTCCCATCGTTATCTTCGACGCGGTAACACTTGCTTCTTCTCATCGCGAAGCTTTTCCAAAGCCGGGAAATATTTTCTGGCTGAGTTTTTCGACTCGCGATTGGTCCTCGATAGAGGGGAGTGAAAATTTCGTTCACGAAGCAACTTCATCCAGGATTAACGAGCATCAACTCTACCCGATTCTTCCTTTTTTCTTCAGGATAAGTCGATCCACCACTTTTATTCTCCTTTTCCCCGGTGTCTTCATCTTTGAGGGGATTCGTCAGACCTCTGGCTGGCTCTCTGGAAGCCAAGAACCAGCCGAAAAACGCGACGTTTGCCCATTTTCCCTCTAATTTCTGACAAATCGGACGCTCTTCCCCCAGGTCTCTCCTGTGACTTTCAAGGTCCCTGGGATTTAGCGGCATCATCCGTCCAATTAACGTGGCCCGAACCCGCGCCACGGTTTTCCACCCACTCGAATACAAGGGTAATTCAATCCAGAGGACCCGGTGGCTGGACTCGCCGAATCCTCGACCCTCTTTTCTTCCATTTTCGCCGGCTTTGCTCGGCTAATCGCGATCCCCCCGATCTCACCCTGGACTTTTGCTCTAGGTTGGTCAGTGAGACTGGATATATCCCCCAAACAGACGAATTTCGCGTTTCTATTTTGGATTTCTCTTTGCCGGAGGTAATCGCGCGCTACGAGGTTTCTGCCTTCGAGTTACACTCGGGTAAAATATCAAAGGGCGCTGAAATAGCCCTCC